TGACTTCATGAAAACTGTGAAAAACTCTCTTCTTTTTCTTCTGGAAAAATTTGAATACTACTGGAGGTTCTTCCTGGAAGTTCTGACATGACTGTAGTGACTACATTGTGTCTTAAGCTTTTTGAAATTGGGAAATATTTTGCTATGGATTGAATGACATTGCTGGTTACAGATTTGTTTAAATAACTTATTTAATCTTGAATTACTTTGTTATGTAATTCATCTAGAAATCCATCTATTCCTTTAAGCTTTCTAACCTAGTGAAATATAAATATTTTAGATTTTATAGTTTAAATTCCAGGTCCTTTTAATAAGATGATGCTATACAGCAGTCCATTCTGCATGAAATAACTACCATCATCATGACTTCAGCTGAGCCTGATTGCTAAACACCATCACAATTGGGCTTGTTGACAGTTATGCTCATTCATTAAAGGAAGGCCAAGCAGGGTCATTGGACCCTCAACACATTATTCAGCCACTCTTCCGAGCCAATTGATTGTAATTTGGCCCTAATCACACATAACCTCCTGGATTTGGGGAGGGCTAAATTATACAATCTGGGGAAGGCTAGGAAGAGAAGGCCTGACCCATAGTGGGTAAAGGCTTTCCAGTGTGCACACACACATGTCATACATACACCTCAGCAACCCCTCAGTTATTTTGGTAAGTGAGCTCAATAAATTCATTGTTTCCTTAGTAATAAAACATTAATCAAACATTGGCTCGACACTAGAACCTTGAAAGGGACTAAGCATTGCTTAGCATCCCCTGAAAAAAAGTCTCACAACAGATGGGAAATTTATTTGTTAATGCTATTGTGTCTCATAATTATTTTTAGAAAAGAAAACTAGAATGTAAAAGATGCTAAAAGGATATGGGAATGGAGATATTTTCTGAAATAGAAAAAAAAAATGAGAAGCCTAAGCTAGTAATGAAGGTCTGTTTAGGTTTGTTATGATATATAAAGGGTGAGACAAAAATAATATGCACATAATCTTAAAATGTCTATGGTCATAGTTTAGTCAACTAGTTTAAGGAACAAAAAAAATATATATAGTCAAATTTTTCTGAGAATATTTGTGGGGTTTTTTTTTGTTTTTTTTTTTTCCCAAGCCTTATCTACACAGCATATGATAATTAAAAGTACCAGACTGGTGAAACTAACCTTATTGGACATTTAACAGCCATAGTTGCCATGAACCAAGACTCCAACCAGCAGAGCCGAGGAAAGGACAACACAGGCGCCAAGGTGAGGTTCAAGTAATTCTCTCCCTTTTATTCTTCGTCATCCCACAATATATACCCTCATCAGATCCATCCCACAATCAGACCATCACACAGAGCCAATCAGTTCATGAGCATGGGGCTAACATGCAGGCAGAGCAGCAAATCATTGGGCCACGCAATAGAATCATGCTCACGTGATCAAGCTTACAGCGCTTGCACAAGTTAGAGCAAACAAGTGAGGGTCACGAGGCTTGACAGCCAGCCAGGGCGCCATCTTGGCTGGCTCGACCGCGCCCGCTTCCCACATCTCCCCCTTTTTGCTTAATTAAAACCAAGGGAGGCCAAGGGACCGTGCCTGGCTTAGGTTGCCCTCTTTCATTTAGCATCCTTACCTGTCATCAACTCGGCAACATCATGGTTGTCGGTCTATCTTAGGTTGGTATGCGAATGAGAGGGTCTTACCCGTCATTGACTACCGGTCCAGCATATTTAGCCAAATGGAGGGAGATCCTCCCGCTTCCAGCGCTGCCATAGCTTGGACGAGCATTTGCGGTTGGGCCACTGTCTGCCGCCGCATGCGCACCATGCACCACAGCATACCTCCACATGCCACAATCAAAAGGAACCCCCAAAAAACCATGCCCCCCCAATTCTTGAGGAAGCTAAAGGTGCCCTACATAGCCTTCAGCCATTGCTGCACAGTGGCAATCTCTACTCGGGTGTTATTTGTTGCCACAATGCCATCTTCTTGTCGAACTCATGGCTCCAATTTCCTCGCAGCATTATTCCAATTTCTCGGGATAAATTACCTGCTCAGGAAAAATTCTGAAACTTTACAGATGTTATACATATTCCAGTCATGCGATGTATACAGGGAAGGAAGGCCATCTGTCCTAATATATCCACTTGTTCTTGAAGAAGATCAACCCGTTGGTTGAGCATCAAGATACCTGCTTTAAGCTGGGCATTAATACTTTCTTGTTGAGCCAAGGCTCCAGCTGTTGAAGCTGATAATTGATTAAGAGTAGATGCAGTTTGGGAAACACTGTTGCATCAAGACTCAGAGGGACAGGGAGTGGGAAGGCCGTGACTACCCTCCACAACTCCCTTTCCTGCACCTTCACTATGGGCACCCTCAAGCTCACCATGTTGAGCAGGCTGAGAATCATCATTACAATCTACCGTTGTTCCACCGTGCTTGCCTTTCTTCCCCAACGGCCGGGTCAAGCGTTCTGGCACCCAAATGGGACTCTCTTGATCCTGAGGAAACACACACACCGCTCCTCGTGTACAGGTCAAGACAGGGTCGGGCCAATGCCAAGCCACTATACGGACATCTTTCCACATTACAGACACACGATGTACTGCCTGTGGATTACTATGGCGATCAGCCGCACAATGACTTTCTACATCCAGATTTAAAAAATTAAGGACAAAAAGAACAATATTCCATTTGTCCTTTGGAGATTTAAACTGGTTCCCTATTCCCCCTTTTTGTTTAATTAAAGCCTGTTTAATGCTGGCATTGGCTCGTTTCACAATTCCTTGCCCTTGGGGATTGCATTGGCTCGTTCCACAATTCCTTGCCCTTGGGGATTATAGGATAATCCATGGGTAAGTTTAATACCCATGGTGTGGCAGAAATGTTGGAACCGGCTTGATGTATAGGCTGGTCCATTATCTGTTTTAAACTGTTGGGGTATAGCCCAGGCTGCAAAGGCTTGTAAACAGTGTGCCATAACATGCTGAGCCTTCTCTCCCACATGAGCAGAGGCAAAAATAATTCCCGAGCAGGTATCCACTGACACATGCACATATTTAAGTGTGCCAAACTCAGGAACATGAGGAACATCCATCTGCCAGAGTGCCATTAGGCAGAGGCCCCTGGGATTCATCCCTATACCCCGTAGGGGCAATAGGTAAACACAATGAGCGCATTTCAAAACTATATCCCGGGCCTGCTCTCTAGTTATTCTAAACTTTAATCTTAGGGTACTAGCATTAACATGAAAATTTTTATGAAAATCTCTGGCTAATTGAATCGGGGAAGCGATTAAAAAGGCAAACACGGATCTTGTATAAAGATCTGCTATAGCATTTCCTTCTGCCATCGGTCCAGGAAGACTGGAATGTGCATGAATATGAATGATGCTAAAAGGATTTTTGTGTTCCCATATACAGCATTGCAAGGATAGCAACAGAGAGGCAACTGTGGAGGAGGTTTTTATTACCCCGACATTTTCTAATGATTGCACAGCTTGGACTACATACTGACTATCGGAAATTAAAGGATTCCTTAACTTCCAAAAAAACTTGCATCACAACACTCAGCTCTACTGCCTGGGCAGATTGACAGGGGAAGATATAAATCTTGGGATTCCTTCCTTCCACATAAACTACTCCCACCCTGCCTTTGGAACCATCTGTATAGACATTAACTGCTCCTGCAATAGGTTTCAAGTGAGTAATTTTTGGAAAAACTAATGGATTTCTAATTACAAATTGCAACCAAGGATGAGAGGGATAATGATTATCAAAATCTCCTGTCATACTTGTACACAGTACTGCCTAATCATCATTATTAGCAGCCAAAAATTCAATTTGTTTTGGGGTATAGGGAGTCACAATAACATCGGGTTGTTTGCTCAAGGCACCAACACTTATTTTAATAGCCTTTAAAACTACCTGAGCTACAGCAGCTGGATACCATGGCAAAACTTTATTGGGAGAATGATTTAAATATATCCACAATAGCCGCCCCTTTTGCCATAACACCCCCATAGGGGATAAATCAGAGACAATGACACATAATATGAGTGGTTTGGTCAAATCTATACGATCCACTTGTACATGGGCCAACTTTTCTTCAAGTTTAGCGATACATTGGCGAGCGTCAGCGGTTAAGCTTCTAGGCGACTGTAAATCAGAATCCCCTTTTAACAACTCAAATAAAGGTTGCAATTCGGCATTCGGAAGATGGCAATAAGGCCTAATCCAATTCACATCTCCCAGAAATTTCTGAAAATCATTGAGGGTGCGAAGAGAATCAATTCTCAAAGACAATTTAAGAGCTTCAACCACGGTATTGGTTAATTTTGTTCCCAAGTAATTTTTTAAAGAGTCTGTTTGCATCTTCTCAGGGGCAATGACAAGATTCCATTGTTTTAATTCAACAATTAACTGTGTAACGGCCTCATTCACGTCCTTCTCGGTTTCTGCACAAATTAGAATGTCATCCATATAATGATAAATTATTACAGAGGCACATCGCTCTCTAATGGCTTGAATTGCTTTGCCTACATATAGCTGACACAATGTAGGGCTGTTCACCATACGTTGCGGTAACACAACCCATTCATAACGGGCTTCAGGGCTAGCATGATTTATGGATGGCAATGTAAATGCAAATTTATCAGTATCATCAGGATGCAGCGGGATGGAAAAGAAACAATCTTTTAAATCAATTACTATTGATGGCCAATTGCGAGGAAGGGCTGAAATCATAGGACGGCCCATCTGAACTGGGCCCATGATTTCCATAGCATTATTTACAACCCTCAGATCATATAATAATCTCCATTTTCCAGATTTCCTTTTTATAACAAAGATGGGCGTATTCCAAGGAGAGGTGGATTCCTTGAGGTGGCCAGACTTTAGCTGTTCTTTTATTAGCTGGTGGGCAGCATCCAGTTTCTCTTTTGGAAGGGGCCACTGAGGTACCCACACAGGCTGATCTCTTCTCCATTTAATAGGAATTTGCTCAGTGGCCCCTAGGAAAAACCCAGGCCTTGGCGACCAATGTTGCCTTGGGCAGAAATAGGAAGCCTACGACCATCTTCCCTGAGGCCTAATCCTTTACCAGGCCTATAGCCCATCTTACTCATTATCTTTTTGCTTTGTGGGCTATAACAGTTATCTGTGGTTAATGTAATTCCCATTTGTTTCATCACATCTCGCCCCCAAAGAGAAATGGGGATACTTAAGACAAAGGGCTGAAAAATTCCTGAATGTCCTTCCTCATCTTTCCATGTCAAAAAGCTTGCACTGCACTCAGGATCTTGGGCATAGCCTAAGCCTCTTAAGACTTGAGTGGAATGCTGATCCATCCATGCCTTTGGCCAATCTGCATTTTTAATGATACTGCAATCGGCTCCTGAGTCTAATAGACCCCATAGGGGCATTCCTTGGACAATCAATTTATATAGAGGCCGCTCATTCAATTCCATCATCAGCCAGGCCCCAGGATTACGGGTGGAGCCAAATCCTTCTTGTCCCCTTAATAAGCCTTTAATAGGATATTGGGAGTGACAACTGGGAAGAATCAAGAGCTGCGTGATACAATCGCCAGGGGCGATGGCCAAAATCCCCTTAGGAGAAGAGACTATGATCTTAACTTCTCCTTCATAATCTGAATCAATCACTCCTGGATGAATTACCAGGCCCTTTAGGGTTGCAGAACTGTATCCTAGCAAAAGACCCACTGTATCTTTGGGTAGGGTCCCACGGAAATTGGAACTAATAGTTTGGACCCCCAACTCTGGAGTTAATATGAGTCTGACGGTGGCACAGGTGTCCAATCCTGCGCTTCCTGCAGTTGCTCTTCGGGGGGATCCCTCACCCAGGGGTGACGAGGGATCTGCTGCATGATGGGCCATTGAGTGGGAGTCTGCCGCATTGCCCCATATATTTGAGGGCCCTGAGACAAAGGGCCCCGTTGCCCATTTATTGGCCTTGCTCCCTGCTGGCCGGGGCCCAGAGGCTTGCCATTAACGTCCCACTTAGATTGGCATTCACCTGCCCAGTGGTTACCCTTCTGACATCGTGGGCACAGATTCGGGCGGCACGTGGGGCCTTGTGAGGAACACAGGAGGCCTGCAACCCTATTGGCTGAGGGACGATTGGGACGATCCCTTTTAAAATGCCCCTGCTGGCTGCAGGCGAGAAAATCCCAGAAGGCCATCCCGCCCCAGTCTTTAAGGACTGAAAAAGTCTTCTGCAAGGTGTCAAGCCATTCTTGAGCTTTGGCGATCTGTACTCGGGTGTTATTGATGGCAACGATGGAGGCTCGTAGTTCAGAAAGTGTCCTGTCAAAATCTCTGCTCCAATTTCCTTGAAGCTTGGTCCCAAGCTCACAGGATAAATTTCCTGCTCGGGAAAAGTTAACAAACTCCACAGAGGTTATACACAAGCCAGTCATGTGCTGAATACAATCATAGAAAATCATTTGGCCCAATACATCAATTTGTTCTTGCAATAGGTCAACTCTCTGATTTACCATAAGAATGCCTGCTTTAAGCTGGGTGTTAACGTGTTCTTGAACTCCCAAGGCTACTGCCATGCTGGAAGACAGCTGGTTAAGAGTGTTAGCAGTAGTCACAGAAGTAGCCATAGCTGCAGCGGCCACCGCCGCGGACGCGGCCGAGACCGCGATGGCAGCTATGATCTCTGCAGTAATGCCAAAATCTCTTCTTGGTCTTAATAGCATGGTCAGGTCCTTTTCTAGAACTTTTACTGGCCATGGGACCATGGTGGGCATCCTAACCACAACAGCTATTGGAAAGTTGGTGGCATTCCAGCATTTAGTTAAGAAACAGGTGTCATTGGTACAAAACAAGGTTTCAGTATCATTATTAGAAGTATTGGAAACTAGGAAAAAGAAGGGTGGGACCACACATACAGGAGTAGGTGCAAGCGGTATAGGTGAGGGCTTGGAGCAATTTACTCTAGTATCACTTTCAAAAGTCCTGGTTATTACTGGAGAAGGCCCCTTCCATTCTCCTGTAAGGACATCCTTCCAAAGGACTGAAACTTAATAGCGGTCTGTGGCCGAGCGCCCCGAAGTATCCAAATTCAAAAATCTTCCTTATGGAGCCGGCCTCCGTGTCCCCCTTCCTCCTTATCTAAGTCTTCCTCCTCATAAAGCTCCTCCTCCCCTTCCTGCCCCTGCGGGAGACTTTGTTGGTCTCGGTTAGAGAGCTCCTCCTTTACTTCCTCTAAGGCTTGAGCTCTCTGATCAATATCTCTCTTGTACTTCCGTGTCTTATCTGTAATGCATGTCCTCACCAGCTTCCATACTGCTAGAGTTCCCGCAGGGAGGCAGCCCATGCTGTAAGAGCATTCTTTATAAAGGTTATTCTAAGTCTAACTTCGTCCCTGTCTCCGGGAACCTAACTTCGTCCCTGTCTCCGGGAACCTCAGTAGCGCTACCCCTTCGCCGCTTACCTGCGGACCTTACCCTTAAATTTTCTTAGGCCTTGATGAAGTTCCCCGTACGGGCCACCACTTGCCACGAACCAAGACTCCGACCAGCAGAGCTGAGGAAAGGACAACACGGACGCCAAGGTGAGGTTCAAGCAATTCTCTCTCTCCCTTTATTCTTTGTCATCCCACAATATATACCCTCATCAGATCCATCCCACAGTCAGACCGTCACACGGAGCCAATCAGGACATGAGCACGGGGCTAACACGCAGGCAAAGCAGCAAATCATTGGGCCACGCAATAGAATCATGCTCGGTGATGTATCATGTCAGGCAGGCTGTGCGTGATCAAGGTTACAGCGCTTGCGCAAGTTAGAGCAAACAAGTGAGGGTCACGAGGCTTGGCAGCCAGCCAGGGCACCATCTTGGCTGGCTAGACCGCGCCCGCTTCCCACATCAGCTTGAGGCCTATACTAATATGGTCAGAGGGTCTTAAAGGACAGTTTTTGCCCCTTGCCCTCCAAGGTCAACTAAGTTCCAGGGGACTATGGAACATCTCTCAAAGTGTCCTGTAACTGTGGTGAGTCACCTATCCTCTTGATCAAGAAGGCCATGGAGAGCCCATCATATCAACTTGAACCATGTTTAGTCTCCAAAGAGATGGGTCAACACAGAGGTACCATTTCCCCCATGCTTCCAAGTGAAGCCAGCTATGGTCGAGCAGTACCTTTGACTTATCTTGACATATATGGAACTGGTAAAAGAAAGGATCCTGGGGCTCCTCCCAAGCCCATATGAACCCTGAGGAACAGATACTCAAATGACATTAAGTGTAAAAATAAATTGATTTATTTGGGCCAACTGTATGATCTTATACACCCAAAAGGAAGGTATAACAAAGAGTAAAGTCATCAGAATATTATACTTCCCAGACATTAGGATTAAGTCTATATAAAAAATTTTCTGGACAATTTTTTTCTCATTGATGATTTTGTTCCTAACCAGAAAGTGCTGCTCAGATGTAAGATTTCAAATCTTGGTCTGCAATACTATAGTGCCCAACTGTAGCTAAGGGATACAACAAGCTATTGGTCTATAATGATGGTAGCATTTGCATGATTCAGGAGAGCACTAAATTCCAAATTGTGGTAGGGTCAGTTCCCCCATCTCCCGATAAGTGACTGGCTTTTAGGACAGAAGGCTCTATCTCTAGCTTCCACTGAGGACCGAGTACTGTCCTATTGTCATCTAAGGCCTCCTGTCTGGGTTTGAAGCTTCTGCTGAATCTCTGGGATATCTGGATGTACCTGCACTTGTGGCCTAATCCAGAGTTGTTACTTGTCTACACCTACTGCAGCCAACAGCATGATGTGATCTAACACAGTTTTAAATCAAAATGTGTAACACCATAGCTTTTACTAACTTAATTTTGGAAAACATATGCTAAACACCACATGCTGAAATGCCGGTCTGTGAAAATACATGTCCATCAGTCCCTGAACATATATATTTTGTTTTGATTAAATATAATATTGTATTGCTTCAAATAAATTCCTTGTATGATGTATTTTATTCTGTATTTTCCAAAATAATTTTTCTGTATCATAAACATTTCATAGTGATGTCTTTCCTTCAGCACAAGTCTTATAATTCAAACACAAGTCCAATATAATTCACCTACCACCAAATCATTTGATCAATATCAAATTTTTCCTATATAAAGCATTAATCCTGGCTATAGTCCAATAAACTGCTCAGATAAATCAATTTTAAATTGATTACTATGAAAATCAGGTTAAAATTGAATGAGCATGATAAGTACAGTTTGATAAATAAATGTGAATATTACTTAACACAAGTTAATCTGGTAAGTAGCAAAAATTATATATATATATATATATCCATTTTAATTGTACAAATGAATAAGATTGGCTTTGTTAGTTCAATATATGGATTCGTAATACATGAATTCTGTTACAAGTGAAAAGACTTTATTCTTTATGCCTGAAAAATACTCCATTCAATATACATATAATATTTTAAATATTTTTTGTAACATTATCATGGTTCATGCATTCTGTTACAACTGACAAGATTTATTTTCTTTATGCCTCAGAATTACTCCATTCAGATAGACACACATACTTGTTTGTGTGTGTGAGTGTGTTTGTGTGTGTGCTTTTTAATAGCTTTTATAAAATTATCACACAAAGGAATGAATTTTCTTACAGCATTTTCATGCATTCTTTGTTAGTCTTCCTCTCATAACCCTCCTTTGATCCAGCTCCTCTGGTACAAATGGGATGGTACAAATGGGTCATGGGCTAGTTCTTCTTTAGAAATGGCTGTATTGATTTCTGTGACTGAGCCAGTTTACTCTCTCAATATTAGTTAATAAAATTTCCTCTTTTCCCTATAGCCTCACCAGCATTTTCCCTTCCTTCCCTCCTTCCTTCCCTTATCTCTTTTTTTTCTCCACTACTCTCCCCTTCACTTTCTTTTCTTCTTTTCCTCTCTCAACCGAGGGTTAAGTCTGAGAATGTTTGAGCTGGTAAAAAATATCCTTCCTTCCTTCCTTCCTTCCTTCCTTCCTTCCTTCCTTCCACCCTTCCTTCCTCTTTTATCCTTTCTATTTGATATTTTTAATGAAAGCCATTCTGATGAATTTATACGGAATCTCAAAGAACTTTTAATTTTTATTTCTCTAATGCCAAAAGATGTTTAAAAATACTTTTTTATTTATCTGATAGTTGCCTATTCCAGTCAATAATTGATTTATTTATTGCATTTTTATAGCTTGTGAAGTTTTGTGTATTTAATATATTAACCTTCTGTCTGGGATACAGTTGGCAAAAATGCGATCGCATTAGCAGTGTTTGCTTCACTTTGGTTATTGTTTCCTTTGCCTTGAAAATATTTTGATTTCATGCAATCTCCTTTTACAAATTGTGGGTTTATATTTTCCTTGTGTTATTGGGAATTTTAAGTTTTAGAGTTACCTGTATCTTCAAGTGTTTCCCTTAAGT